GAACAGAATTAGATAGATGATGATAGATAGATAAAATAGATAGATAGATAATACATAGATGGATAGATAAAATAGATAGATGTGAACAGAATCTAGATAAATAGATGTAATTTGATTAGATGATAGATAGATAGATGAAACAGAATTATAGATGTGAACAGAATTAACTCGATCCTAGATAGATTGGTAAGATGTGAAAAGAATTCATACTGAACTTGAATGAGATAGATGTGAACAGAATCTAGATAGATAGATGATCTCACAATTAGATAAATAGATAGATAGATAGATAGATAGATTTTGAACAGAATTAGAACAGATGTAGCCAACAATTAGATAGATAGATTAGATAGATAAAATTGTATGATGTCCAGAATCTAGATATAAAGATGTATTTATTTATTAATATAGATAGATATAGATGTGATAGAATTTGAATTGAACAGATTTAGATAAATAGATAGATAGATGTCTGATTGTTGGTAAGATGTTCAGAATTATAGATATGTAAATTCTTATTCCCTTGAATCTAGATAGATTGTAAACACATTAGATATATTAGATATTTGATAGATAGAATTATAGATGTGAACAATCAGATAGATGTGAACAGAAATAGATAGATAGATAGATATGTATTTTTCTGGAAACAGATTAAATAGGCAACAGAATTATCTATAGTGTTTTCAGAATCCTTTGCAGATATGCGTGCTAGATAGATTAGATAGATAGATAGATAAATAGATAGCGTGAACAGATTTTCATATATAGACGATAGATAGATAGATAGATGATAGATAGAACATAATAGATAAGAATTAGATCTTCATAGATAACTTCGTTCTAATGATGTGCCGATACGTCCTCGTCCTGCTAAAAGACTCTGATGAACTTATTCCCTTATATTAAATCTTCAAAACCGCATTTTGCCTAATGTTTCTGGATGTCTGAGAGGAGAAGGGCCTACACTGTTGATCCATATTTTTATATAAATTGATTACACATTTAAAAATTTATAGTCATTTCTCCACTTTGCTTCTAGGATAAATAGATAAATATATTTTAAAAAATAGATAGATAGATAGAAATAATTTTTAAAAATCTAATTTTTCCAGTAGATTTCAGGTATTATTATTTTTATATATATATATATATATATATATATACATTGCGTTGGTATTATAATTATTTAAATTTTAGAGCAAAATTTAAAAGATAAATTTTATTTATATTTATCTATATATTATATATATATATATATATATATATATATATATATATATATATATATATATATATATATTGTCTGTGTGTATTTAGACAGCATTTTTTTCATTGATGCATGTTTCATTAAATAATATAGACAAGTGTTATCTATTTATTTTATGTAAATTCATTTCATATCAACATGCTTGGCCGCATACACAATTCCAGAAAACCTTGTTGAAAACACAATTATACTTAAACATGAAAACAATAAACAAAAACTAAAAATTCTTGAAGCTATATACTTAAAACAGTTGAAACCTAACCTGAACAAAATAAATTATGAAATCTCTACAAATATTCTTAAATGCCTATAATTGGTAACAGAAGCCATTGATTTATACCAACAGCTTCCCATACTTAATACTTCTCGTTTTCATTCTCGCGTGGTCATGTGTGACGTATATATATATATATATATATATATATATATATATATATATATATATATACTGTAGGCCCTGAAATTTTTAAAAAAATAGATTTTTGTCAGAGCAGCAGTGAATTTTTATTATATATATATATATATATATAGAAAGAGAGAGAGAGGGGGGGGGATAAGCAGCTCCCAAAAGAGTCTGCCTAAGATTGCACACTGGAAAAAAGAGTGTTCAATGTCATAAAGAATTGCAGAGCTTCAATATTTCGTGGACAGTGACAAAACATGACTTCCAGTTTCGCGCGCTTTCACTGAATCACCAGGCGGTCGGTAGTTTATAAAATAGAAACCCGTAATACCACCAAGTGAATCCAAAATGGTATGTCAACCAAACGCGCCAGATGGAGGGTGACTTATCCAACCAAGATCAAAATAGCCGGAAACCAATATATATATATATTACAGTTCAAAAGTTTGAAACTAACATCAGAATTAGCAAGGGTTGAACTAGACAGAAGAGTGAAAAAGAAATTAAAAAAAGAACTATTAGTGTCGTTGAAAAAGAATGAAATCAATTATCAAATTTATACTTTGAGAAACTTTAGCAAACTAATGCCAAAATTTTGTGCTGCAGTAATCAAGGCTAAAGGAGGATATTTTGATGTGAGCCAAATTCAATCATATTTTTTTTTCTTTTTGTCTTAATAAAATTTCTAATAAAAAATCATGCCTCACTTTTTTTTAACCATTTGTAATAAATTTTTCTTATTTAAAGTACAAAACAACTGCTTCTTTTGGGGTCAATTTTAAAAATTGTCTGGAGTCGCCTCAAACTTTTGAACTGTAGTGTATATATATATATATATATATATATATATATATATATATATATATATATACAGTGTAACCTGATATAAGAGACCCGGATATAAGAGAAACCCGGATATAAGAGAGATTTTCTCTGGTCCCAAATTAGAGCCTGTGTTAATGTATATATAATAGACCAAACCCGGATATAAGAGAAACACGGATATAAGAGACTTCTCCGGTCCCGACAACTCTCTTATATCCGGGTTACACTATATATATATATATATATATATATATAGTACAGGTAATCGATCCGTTGGTATATAATCTTGGTGAATCTTATTAATATTAATTATTAAAACTGATCCACAGAGAGCTTGATGTTTTTTTTTATTATAACAGAGCATATGTATTTTTTATAGCAAAACCAATGTTGAGGTAATTTTTTGGTTTTACTGTATATATATATATATATATATATATATATATATATATATATATATTATATATATATATATATTCTGTTAAGAGGCCGGAAAAATACCGTACGGTTATATAAGGTATTTTTACCCCTTTATTATATTTACTTACCCTGCATGTCTTTTTTTCAAGACAGATGCATTGAGATGGTATGGTATTACGAACACTTATTGCCCACCACCTGAAGATACCTGTCGGTCGAAACCATGGTTGTATGCGGTTATATAAGGTTTTTATACCCCTTTAATAGATATTGTCATATAGGAAGAAAATGAGTAATTACCGACACTGATATATATATATAAATGAATGTATGGATCGCGCAAAAGCATTTGACAAGGTACGGCACAAGGATCTATTTGAACTGCTAGGAAAACTCGATCTATTTGGAAAAGATAATAATAATCCGGAACTTATACTGAAGAAATTCTGGGGTACGCATAGAAAATGAATTGAAGAGCTATACTAAAATAGAAAGGGGCGTGAGACAAGGGTGTGTCTTCTCGCCGGATTTATGCAAGTGGCGCTATCCTAGGGGAAATGAAAACTCTAACAGGATTTGTCATCGGTGGTCGTAATCTTAACAATATAGGATACGCTGTCGACACTATGCTGATGGCCGACAGGGAAAGGAAACTAAAGGACATCCTAGACATAGTAGTAAAAGAAAGCGAGAAAAAAGGACTAACTACCAACTGTAAGAAGAGAGAAAGTATAGTCATCAACAAGAGAAAAAGTTCAAGATGTGTGTTATGAATTCGAGATATAAACATCAAGCAGGTGCAGATGTTTAATCTGGTAAAGAACAAGTATAACATCTGTTCTCTGCTCATTTAAGTGTATTAGCACGTAAATGAATGCAATGCATTTGACTGGAATTCGAACTCGGAGAAGCGAGTTCGAATTCCAATCGAATCCATTATATTCATTTACGTGTTAATACCTTAGAAAAAGCATGAATCCTCTTCTTCCCCCACCCCCCAGCTATGGGTAAATAGCAGGACAGACCATACCCCTATAGCCTTGAATTTAAAAAAAACCGCAGAAAGAATTGGCAACCAACTGCGAGAAAAAATCTGCCTCGTCAGTCATGTATCGAAAAAGACATGATCGCCTAAGTGTGTATTATGCATGGGAAATATCTGCCTGCTCATTTCAGGTGTGAGAAGGCACCCGATTCTGAGGATTCCAACCCTGTGGTATTACCTTCCTTATTGCACTAAGTGCAATAGTGTCAGTGTAATATTGACGCCAGTGTGACGGCGGTCGCGGGGGACTAGACAATGTCCTGGACACCGATGCATGCCTATGAGCAGCCTACGTAAAAAAAAATACCTGTGTCCCATCATGCCTTAGTGCGAAGGTTTTCTTTTTCTTTTTCTTTTTTTTTTCTTAGCCAATAAAATAGGCCTGTTTGCAGTTTCATCTGACGCAATTCCAGTCTGTCTTATCTTGAACTCAGAACGCTGTGTTCTCTGGTCCGAACGCTTTTGTGTGTCAACGCTAATAAATCATATATATTTTCTACGGCTTATCAGCCCTTTGCAGATTATTTAAAGCCAGAAAATATTATTTTACATTGCGAGATTATTTTTTAGATAATAACGGTTTAGTGATACAAGTTTTACTAATTATCCCATAGCTTTGAGAAGAAGTGGATTCATACTTTTTCCAAGGGCATTTGCACGTAAGGGGATATAAAGAACCCGACTGGAATTAGAACTTGGCTCCCCGATTAATAATTCCGAGCCAGTATCCATTACACTACGCGCACATCTAAGCTTACAGCACTATGTATTCCTAATCGGTCACCCATCTAGGTAATGACCAGGCTCGATGTTGCTTAACTTCGGTGATCCCATACATTAGGAAGTGGTGTTTCAATGTGATAAGGCCGTAAGCCATACTACCCGCACATCCTAGCTTACGGCACCTGGTATTTTCAATCAGTTCCCCATCTAGGTACTGACCAGGCACGAGGTTGCTTAATTTCGGTGATCACATACATTGAAAAGTGGTGTTTCAATGTGATAAGGCCGTAAGTCATACTACCCACACATCCTAGCTTACAACACCTGGTATTCCCAAGCGGTCACCCATCTAGATACTGACCAGGCTTGACATCGCTTAAATTCGGTTATCGTACCGGAACCAATGTTTCAAAGTTACGTGGCCGTAAGCCTCAAATGCTTTTGCGTAATCTATAAAACATAAGAGCACACGGTTTCTGATTACCACCAGCAAGAGTGTCCCTTGATATACCTTGAACAGAGACAACTGAGGTATCGTATCAGATTTAACAAGCACTCAATGGGAAACAAACTCACGCGAATTATCGTGTTTACTATCTCTCTATCTTAGATTTAGTTAGCTTCAGTCTAGTTAACAACGAAACGTGTCAAATGCAGCTAGTATCACAAACGGAATGCGCATGCGTGCAGTCGAGTTGTTTACAGTTTAGCGCAACATTTCAATCCTATTTTCTAAGAAGAAAATCGTGTAAAAAGAGATAGATTCAATAGATTCGAATATTTTGTTATGATGTATTCATTATTTATTCAATTAAAAATTTGTACGGGAAGAGATTCAGTTTCAAAAAATCGCGTGAATTTTAAATCTACGTTTTCAAACTTGTTGACTATAGATTTTAAAATAATTTACTTCTTTTTTTTTTCTGTAATTAATTCTGGATAATGTTTACTCGTAAAATTCCATTATTATTTGTTTGACAATTTCGGAATATATCTACTCGTATCTATCTGTCATGTAATTACCTAAAATATTTGCATACTTGCCACAGTTTGCGACCAGAAATTATTAATAAACAATATATATATATATATATATATATATATATATATATATATATATATATGAGGCTAATGGCCAGAGATGAATCAGACCAGGAAACAGTAGTATTAAAAAGTGCTCAATACCCGTGTGAAAAAAAATAATATAAAAGTAAAAATAACATGTAGAGCTTTTAACTTTAAAAATCAGGAGATCAGCCAAATTCGCTATTTTGGTTTCAGCCTTATGGTATCCTCAAGCAATTTTTATTAATTGACCTCCAAAGGCTTTATTAAATAAAAAAAATAACAACTTATATTACACTATTTTATTTTTATTATTTTATTAATTTATTTATTTATTATTTATTTATTTATTATTTATTACATATATATATATATATATATATATATATATATATCGGTAACTTTTGAAATCAGGAGGTCAGTTGGAATTCAGGACTTAACTTATTTTTTATAACCTTACGGTATCCTTTCTGATAAAAATCGCCTGAGGATAAAAAAAACTTGAAACCAAGGTAACGGATTCAACTGACCTCCTGATTTTGAATATATATATATATATATATATATAATATATATATATATATATATATATATATATATATACACTCACAGTGGAAGAAAAGATACTAAAATCAAATCCGTAAGTGGTAAAATAATCAAAAACTTATTTTTAATATAAAATATTAAAAAGATAGAACCATGAAGAGAGCTCATTGCATTTATATACATCAAGAATTAAAAAAAATTTAACACACCATCAATTAATTTAATTTTTAATAAATTGACTGGATAAGTTTAAACTATTTTGTAATTTCGGTCTAATGAGGCAAACATTGAAAATTTATCTGTCGAAATAAATTTATTACCGAATTCTTCGATGATATATTAAGTTTTTCCTTTTATATATATATATATCTATATATATATAAGTGATAGAAATTATTAGGAGGATTTGAGATAATTATAATTAAGTAATTCATCGAGTCTAGAAGAAAACTCAAGAGAATGCAGAAAGCACTGGACGGCTGTTTCGTCCTATATTTGGGACTCATCAGCAGTGCGCATCCACTACCGAGAATTGAAACCCGGACAGTTATGTTATCAGGCAAACGAACAAACGGGCCTCGGTGACAAAGAGGTAACGAATCAGACTCGATACAGCGCCGCTCGGTCATATATTCCGTTGTTGGAACTCATCCGAGTTTCCCCCTTACCCATAGGACTATGCCCCCAGAGCCACGACTACTATCACCAAGCAGCTCCATCCAGATGTTTTAAAAGCCAGTTCAAACAAGGATATACAATGATAGAAATTATTAGGAGGATTTAAGATAATTATAATTAAGTAATTCATCGAGTCTAGAATATATATATATATATATATATATATATATATATATATATATATATATATATATATATATATACAAGTGGATATTGCACCCAGAGGATTTAGCATGAAACAGACTGTAGTTTCTGGGTGCTGACTTCAATGTCCACTTATACTGGATTGAGTTCTCTAGGTCACTGGCGTGTTTATGATAAAATAAATACGCAAAGATTCGCCTTGCCGGGCGTCGATAGCCTAAGGATAAGAATCTCCGACTGATACCATATCGGTCGGGTTCCCATCCCGGCTGGAAGCGATTGGATGTCTAACCACACTGATGACTTGTCAAACAGTGAAACAGTCTGTCTGTGAATGACAATATTAGCTCCCGAAAAAAAATAATTAATTCGGTCGAGCACTGTGTGGGAGAAAAGCGCCAATTCGTAAACAGTCACTATTACTTCTGATAATGCAAGTCTCTCCAAACTGGATTGAGTTCTCTAAATCACTGGCGTGTTTATGATAAAATAAATACGCAAAAATTCGCCTTTCTCCTCCCCACAGTGATAGGCTTGAAGCGATCGGATGACTATTCACACTGATGAGCTGTGAAACAACGAAACAAGCTGCCTGTGAATTACGACATATATATATATATATGTGTGTGTGTGTGTGTGTGTGTGTGTGTGTGTGTGTGTGTGTGTGTGTGTGTGTTACTCTGACTGGTTCACTCTCATGGACTTGATCCCCTCTTAAATTAGCAAAGAACAGATTTTTTTTTCCGAGTTTGAAATTCTCTACTCTCAATTAAGTCAACATGTTCCTTCCTCTTCTGATAAAGCTTCCGGAATTAAAGATAAACTGCTTGAATTGTCTAACGAATATTTTTCCCTCGCTGTTCAGCAGGATTTTCTTTCATGGCAAACTGTTCATTTTCGGACTATCAAATCCTTTAAGTCTAGAAATGCCGTTTATATAACAAAGCCTAGAAAAGGGTTTTCATGTAGCCATCTTAAACAATCAAGATTATATTATGGTTATTATTTTGAATGATTCCTCTAAATTCAAGAGGATTGGTCCTGCTAGTACACGTGATAATACTAGTAAGATTGAAGTCTATATATATATTTTTCGGTATCACCCTAAGCAAAGCAGTACAGCCATTGAACGCAAGGAGTTACGGGGTATGTGTGGAGTAATTAAGAACAGAAACATTATTTATGAGGAGAAAGAGAAAAGAGCAATCGGGAGGACTGTAGATAGCGATTACGATTACATTCAAAAGATTAAAATTGACTGGAAAATATGGAGCCGGAAGGGAAATCTACAAGCGAGAAGTGCGAGATAAGAAATTGTTAGCTTAGAAGTTGTGGCCCAACTTTCAATTGATGAGATCTTGGTGCCAGTCTAGTAGTGCGCTTAAATTCATACAGTCTAGTTCGCATAGCGAAGAGCTCATCCGAACAATCACTATGAAAGTATGTAACCTTACGGCGGTGAGCAAGTGACTGAAGCCGAGCCGCCAGATCAGGACCAGTAATATTGCTGATTCTTTTTGGGTTCTTATCAAGGAGCTCCAGGTAAATAGCAGAGGTACCGCTCCATATATGACAGCATTATTCTAAGCATGAATGAATGGCAGAATTATAGATATACAAGATTCCAGAGAAAAATCATCTCGCTCGACTTTCGAACCGACTTTCTTAGCAGCCGATCTAGCAATTGATTCAATATAGTCTTTCCACCTCATGTCAGCTGAGAACATTAGCCCGAGAAAGCGCATTGAGTTACTTTTTTGGAGGATAGCATCAGCCATGCTGATGCAAGGCAAAGTGGGTGGTCTCTTAGACGTTTAATGGAGAGAGATTCAGTTTTAGAAGCGCTGAAATTGACAAGCCATCTTTTCGCCCCGTTAACGACGGTCTTGAGATCGTTTTGCACATCAGCTGCCATTTTGACCTTATCTGACTGATCAGCCTGACTAGCGAGACAGGAGTAAATGGTAATGTCGTCAACGTAAATGCCAAGTTGAGAGCTGATGTCATCGGGAAGGCCGTTAATGAAGATTAAAAACAAAGATGGAGCCCTGGGGAACACCCGCGTTACTATAAAATGATGTAGATGAGTGGCCGTTCAAGACAACATTCATTTCACGATATGAAACGACTGGATCCGCTCAAAAATGTGCCCGGGGATACCGTAAGTTTTCAGCTTGCGGAGAAGACCTAAATGTCAGACATTTGCAAAGGCTTTCGAGTTGCCCAGTGCTACAGCCCGAGCTTCACCGTTTTTATCTACAGCAAGATAGACTCTTTCCGTAATTATCGTTACTGCATCAGCAGTGGAACTGAAGAAACTAAAGTGGTATTGCTTGTCTGAGAAAAGGCGTTGTGATGAGAAATGATAAACCAATTCAGCATTGATATCGATCGTTAGCTACTGCCTTCTTGATTAGTCTTCTATTGTACTCACTGCTTAATAATGTTTCTCTTTTTGTTTTCTTTTCACAATCAATAACCCCTTATGTCTTAGTGACTATACTGCCTAGCATGGGGTGAAATGATTAAAAAATAGGTTTTAAATTTTATATAATCTTGGATAGGGTTAATTTTATATCCTGTCTTACCGGTGATATTCGTATGTATTTTTGTTTTTTCTGAAGGATCTGAAATATTTAAAAAAAAAATCTTTTAAAAAATAAAAGGCGGGAAATGAAAGCAGTCTTGTGTGACATGTCTGTTTATCCCTATACGCAACCCCACTTTGCTTCCTGGAAAAAAAAAGTTTGGACGGGAATAGAAGAAAAAAACTTCGGGCATGTAGCAGTTCAAGTAACTAGGAAGTCAGGTTTGATTTCAACGAATAGATAGTTTGGCATATGGTCTTCACTCTCCTTGGTATTACCGCTCACCTCATCAAAAATGAAAATAAAAGAAAAAGCAGAAGAAATATATAAGTTTATTCTGACCGGATTTGGAGTGGGGTGGAAGTCCAAATACACACCGGAAATGAGGGCAAACATTTTTATTGA